TTTCATTCTTAGTCAATCGAATAGCATTCCCATGTCATTGGGAGTAATTCAGATATCTAATTTACGTACTCTTTTTAATTGGGCTTTCTCTGATATGTCCAAACACAGAATAAAAAGTAATACTGGGATTGATACGGACATCTCTTGAATTTTTCAGATATAAGTTTAATTGTTTCGACAGAATTTACGTTTGGTTGCATGAAACTAAAGATAATAATGGCTTACGCCAATTTGATCTAAAACATGCGAAATAAAATAGAAATTCAAAAATTTATTTTTTCAATATCAAGCACATCCTTACAAATAGCAAGGTCTTTAACCCGTACTCAGCCAACTTTTGTTTCTACAATCCTCTGCAAGCGTTTCTGTAGCGCTCGTTCGGTTTTTACCCAGCAGTTCAACTATTTGGACAGGACATGTATTGAATTACATCAGGTCTTATTTTAAAGAGAACAAAGAATCCTATCGTCCGTTTCTCATCCCGGTCGCTGAATGAATGTTATCTATTTTATATTCCGTTTTCTATCATAGAACGTTTGCATGACATACGTACTTAATGGAATTGTATTCCACAATGCTACTCCGATATTTAAATACGAGCAAATCAAATTAAATTTCGACCGCTTCATTCCTATCGTTCATTTTTGTTTCAGTTATATTTTGTCCGAAACACACCGATTTGAAGTTCCACGAATGTTGAAGTCATCCCCGATTCTTCTGGAGACCTTCGTTAATCAACAGCAGGACAAGTAAGTTTTTTTACCATTGATCTGTGCATTGGTCTGAAGTGAGAGATTTTCATGCCATATCCCTCTTCTCTTTTTTCTTCTGAATCCATTTCAGGACAATACATCGTTGGTGGGCTCAGACATTGGAATCCGAGGGTCGATTGGATGAGGCTAGAAATTATTACTTTCAGGCTAAAGAATACTTGTCCCTGGTCCGTGTGCTCTGTTGCTTAGGCAAAGAAGGTGAAGCGGAAGCTTTGTGCAATGAAACTGGAGATCCTGCCGCTTGTTACCACTTGGCCAGACAAATGGAAGCATGTGGTAATGTGGATCAGGCCATCCGGTTGTTTACCCGAGCCAAAGCATATTCCAGCGCGGTTCGTTTATGCAAGGCAAGCGTACAAGTATTTCAATGTTGTATAATAATCCGAACGTGTATTACTTCCCGAGTCATAAAGAATGCCGAAATTGGAATGTAGATTTAAAAGCCAGGGAAATAAGTCAAGTTACGATAGTTTTCTTGGTTAGGGACCTATAGACAAAAAATGAGAGGTTAGAGACACTGAATGAAGTGCCTGCGTTTCCTGAATTGTGGTGCTCGTGAATTTACTTTTTTCTCGCACGCACACAGTTTAGTTGCATTGTGGATCCCCACCTTGGTTTTGCTGTTGCTCACCATTTCCGATTGGTCCTTCATTTTTAACTAAATTAACAACCGAAAGACAGCTTAAACGAACACATGGAAGTGCAAGGTTGATGATTTCATAAACTGACCTGAATAACTAAAGATGTTCTTTAGGTGCCATCTCTCTATACTAATATCTCAAGGTAGTTCGAGCATACGGCCTTTTGTTACCCAAGTCTACCACAGAAAGCGTTGTTCGTCACGGTGACCACTGTTCTCCTCTTTCCTCTTCGATAGCTACATCTCACTTGGTGCATACATCACGGATAAAGTGCCGGCACGAATACAGATGTCTCAGGGATTCTGGTTCACTGAATAGTCCGTCTCACTGCTGCAGACAGCCAATAGTTAAAAGTTACAGATCGTTTGCGTGGAGTTCTGCGTAGCATGTTGTTCACAGGCATACGCACACACCTTCCCTCTTTATGGTATGCATCTACAAAGTGCAAGGTGTTACTTCAAGATTGGCATGGACCTGCTTCTGCGATTTTGTTAGGTATTTGCACGCTTGAAGTGGTCGAAAGCTTTGTCTTCCTCGGCAATCGTACAACAGCTGGTGGTGAGTGCGAAGCGATCCCACAAAGCAAAATCAAAGCAAGATTAGCGTTCGCTAATCTGCGACATCTCTGGCGCTGCTGCGACTAAAAGAGCGAGTGCAATGCCCAACGTTGGGTGCCTTATTGCTCAAAGGTTGTAAAACTTGGCCTCTCTGAACAGATCATTTCCAACAACTGCCTTCGACAACCATTGTCTGTCCAAAAACGCTGGTATATGGTGGGAGCATCACGTGAGTGGCGATGAGGTCAGACAGCGTGTGGTAGGGTCAGATGGTCTTCCACTGAGCAAAGTCATTTCACTGCATCTTCTTAGGTGCCCGGGGTACGTTCCACGAATGCCTGACCAACTTCTGTTCTACCATGCGCTTTTTGCAGACATTAGGCGAGACTGGAAGAACCAGTGAGATGAGCATAGAAGGGACCTCGAAGAATCAGATTTTCATTAGCTAGAGACACCGGCAGATGAAGCATCGAATCGGTATCCGTGATGTAAATGCAAGTTTTCCTACCTGAAATCACAAAAGTAAAAACTAAAAATTAAAACTGCGTTCAGTAAATGAGCAAACTGATAATTTGTGTTCTGAGCTTCTGTATTTTTCTTTCAGCCCATTTTGGCGCCATATCTGTACGTATCGTCGATACATGTAAATACTAAAATTGTACGGAATTGGGGAATTATAAGTTTCGAATCAGTTTGTTTTTGTCTTTTGCTACCTTGATCTTGGTCAGCAACGCCTCCGTCTACGGTCAAAATACATCAGTCAGTTACAGCCCAAACTAATCTCTAAAGAGTTGCAATGGAACCACAAAAGGCAACTCCTTTTTATAGCACTATATTGCATGTAAATTAGTTGATACCGTATAGTAGATTGTATCTTTCACAAACCCATTATTTATTCAGGACTGCGCGTACTTCAGAAATTACCCAGAATTTTATTGCTTTCGTAGGAGCACAATCGGAACGATCACCTATACAGTCTAGCTCAACTCGGTCGACCTGAGGATATGCTTGAGGCTGCGATCCACCTGGAATCTTGTCCGTCACACGCGCATAAAGCGGTACTTCTTTTTCACAAGGCCGGACAAATTGGACGTTCTGTTGAGTTGGCATTTAAAACGCGGCAATTCGCAGCTTTGCAAGCAGTGGCCGGATCTCTGGACGATCGCATCGATCCAGCCCTACTCAAACAGTGCGCGGAATTTTTCACACAGAACAATCAATTTGATCGTGCTGTGGATGTTCTTGCTGCCGGAAAACAGGTAATCCTTTCGTTTTTTCCCATATAATTTCAATTGAGATATTATACGATAAATTATATCCCGAACCTCTCCCCAACAGCCTGGATTACAGTTATTCCTTCTCGAATTTTAATTGGCACTGATTTATTTATTTAAAACTAGTAAATTGAGGTGAATGACCGAAGGGATTGATAAAATTTCTGGTTTAAGAAGTGAAAACTTGAATTAGTTTGACGTTATGAATAAAGCTCTAGTACTCACCCACGCGGATGACTTGCGGTGAAAAATGGTAAAATTCTCTAATGTACCCAATGCATTTCATCTTACTTATTGAAAAGTACAGTCTCGCTGGCATTCCAAGCCGTAAATATCCAAGTAAGGTGTTCTGGAACAAGATCTCACAACAACAGGATTTTTATACAAACGCTAATGACGGATATCACAGACCTTTTACGTCTGTATGTACTGCTGACCGGGCCACTGTTCCGACCGGATCAGCATCCGTTTCATACAGTACATGTCCGAACCACCCAGAGCGAAGTTATTGAACCAGACGTCTCAGTTTTTAATAGCCCTTCTTACGAACGTGTCTTGAGATTAGAATTCAACGACTAGCGATGTCCGTATCCAGAACAAAATGCCTCTTTGAAGTTCGGCAGGAGTACTGTTCTCTGGATTGCTCAGCTTTAGTTCGCGGCAGATAAGTTGAGGCATTATCAGAGGTGGACTCCGAGGTCCACACGAACTTGATCAATGGTGTTGAGGACTTCTCTGGGACTGTAGTCCCCTCTTCCCAGACACCAAGTTTTCCAGATGCTTTGTATTTGTTTACTACCGTGGTTTGGTCTAACTGCCTGCAAACCAGTTGGTGAAATGACCCATGTGATAAATGACAAAAAAACAAGGAATCGATCCTTCGGATTACAACAGGTTCTCTAGGTATTATTCCCAGGTTCGACAATCCCAGTGTGCAAACATCGGACAGTCTCTTTCGTTTCTCTTGATTGGATATAAATCTGAAAAAGTGAGTGTGAGACCAAAAATAATGCAATTCAAACATTATTTAGGAACTCAGTCATGATTAATCTCAAAGTAATGGTTCTGAAGGGTGTTCAGTATCCGTATATTACGTATTATGCGATAAGTACAAAGTCTTACGATGGCAAGCTTTAGAACGAAGCGTAAAACATAATATGAATGATGAGGAAGAAGAA